AAGAAAGAAAACTTGAATGGCCTCCAATGAACAGAGATAGAAAAGTCAGGCAGGGCTGAGAGAGGTGTGAGAGGCTCACTACGCTCCAGTGAAAACGTTGAGCAGGGCAGCCAGGGCCCATGGACAGGTGCAGGGAGGAAAAGACTCACCTTTCAACGACTCATTGGGATCCTTGACCACTAAAGCTAGTAAAGCAAAATCACACCAAATATTGAAGAAGGGCCGGGGAGATAGCTCAGTAGAATAAGTGCTTGCCTGGCAAGCGAGGGTTCTGAGTTCAATCCCTGATACCACAAAACAACCAAATATAGAAGAAAATAACATTCTCAAAATATATTTAAGAACAGAATGAGCAACTTCAAATTCAGTGGAAAAGCAAAATGCTTCCAGAGACATTACTTTCCAGATATCTTCTGCTAACATGAGCAGGATGGTGAAAATTCCTCCTAACTGCTTAAGAGTTCTGATATATCACATCTGACCAGTTGGTTTACTTTATGGAATACCCATCATTGTGGATCTTTTAAAAAATACAAGAATTTTATTCTACTGCATTTTTCCAGACACATCTCATAAAGTCTAAGGATTAAGTCTAGAAAGAGGAAGATCTGAAGCAACGCAATTACAAAATGAACATCATTTGAAATATTACATGGCTCTAAGACTCACAGATCCGTAAAAATGTTAGTGATAAAGCTCATCATTTTCAAAGACAGTTATTATATGTGGGCTTGATCTTTAAAGGTTATTTGGTTTTCATTATTAGAAACATTCTTCATCTTACTTTGGCCCTGGGTGTTCAGCAGCTAGTGCCTGCCACCTAGTGGCAGTACATCTGGATAGCAGCAATGCTAAGAAACATTAACTGGTCTTGATGAAGAAAGCCAAGCAGCCAGATCTAAGCGGCAGAAGTCACTAAAATCAGCGAGCCTCTCTCATCTATCTAGATCATTAACTCAGTGGAATTATTTCAGGCAAGACTAACTCTACAAGCAGTGGGGTTGTTGTTGTTGTTGTTGTTGTTGTTGTTGTTGTTGTTGTTTTGAGACAGGGTCTCACTACGTAGCTCAATTGGGCTTCAAACTAGAACTCCTAGTAATCCTGCCTCAGCCTCCTAAGTGCTAGGGTTACAGATCTGTGCCACCACACCTGGCCTCTCTAAGCTTTGCTTGTTTTGTGTACTTGGTGTTTATCTTGAACTCACTATGTAGCCCAAGCTGGCCTCAAACTCACTTAGATCCTCCTGCCTCAGTTTCCCAAATGCTGAGATAGGTATGTGCCACCACACCTGACTTTCACCTATATACTTTAAATCACATTGTGTTAATTTAAAATTCTGATTAAAATGAAGATACTTATGCTGTATTGTTGTAAAAAAAAAAAAAAATGTCCCTGTTCAGTACAGAAACAATTTATTCCCAGTTTTCTTTTTACCCACAAATGGCTAGCTCCATAGATGTGAATCTACAAAGCCAGAGGCTGCCTATTCTTGTCAAAATGTTTATAGAGAAGCTAGGTGTGGTGCTACGGTGCTACACTTACCTAGCAGAGGGATCCACATGAGCTCAAAGGCAAGCCTTGGCTACACAGTTCAAGGCCAGCACAGTCTACACAGTGAGACCTTATCTCAAATAAAAATACACATACACACACACTGCCAAAACAATGTATATGTCAGGAAAAGAAAAACTACTGTAAATATTTTAATACTAAATTTATGGGGACATCATGAAATTAATGTAAGTCATCTTTGGCCTCTACAATTATAAGTAGTACTTTAAATGGTGGTCATGAGCTTCCAGACATTTGTTAGTACAGTGAACTACTGAAGTGTGTGTATTTTTCTAACACACTGGCTATATAGGAGGCTACCTCAGGTTACACGCAAATACGATGCCAGATGTGGGTGTGAGTGTGTGGGGGCGTGTATTCTGAGACAGGGTCTCGCTATGCAGTCCAGGCTGGCCTGTGCTCACTTTGTAGCCCAGACTCGTCTCAAATGCTCAACAATCCTGCCTCAGATTCCTCAGTGCTGGAATTACATGGTGTGAGCCACCATGCCTGGTACAATGCCACTTTATATAGGGGACATGAACACCTGCAGATATGAGTGTCTGTGTGGTCCATAAACCAGTGTCGTCTGCACACAGTGGGATGACTATACAATCTTGTAAGGTAGCTAATCAGCGTAACGCTCAAAAAAGGCAATAATGATTGCTTCATTTTGGAACCTTTGGCTAAGTAAAAGTATTAAGACTCTAAAGGATTACACAGGAACAGGGAGATAGCTCAGTAGAATAAGTGCTTGCCTGGAAAGCACAAGGTCCTGAGCTCAATCTCCAGTACCACAAAAAAAAAAAAAAAAAAGAAAAGAAAAGTTTAATCTAAGGATTATACAGCCATTAAAAATGATAGACCCAGAGAAAAATGATCTGAATTTAACCCAGAAAAAAGCAGAGCACAACAACATGTCCACCCATGACCTGAAGTAAAAACAGGCCTGTGTAGGACTAATGGAAACAAACACTACATCAGAATGAAGAGAGCTGCGAAAAGATGCAGGATCCAGGGTGATTTAACACCTAGCAGAATACTTAATACAGACAGCAATAAACATTTGTTGAATAAATAAATGTATGAGCTTTCAAGATTTTTTTGCTATTGTTTTGCCATTTCCTTTTCAATAAAAAATGGCAGTCTAAAAATTTCAAGCAGTCTTCAACTAAATGAGTCATATTTTTAAGATATAATTCCCCATGTAAGTTTCCCAGAACTTTTTCGCAGTTGGATGATACAAGAGAAAAGGGTGGAGATGTCAAATAAAAAACCTCGCCTAATACCATCTTAGGAACTCACAGTGTACATTATCATATCACAAGACTTAAAGAGTGCTATAAGAAGGGAATCCATTTATCCTACCTAATTAACAGGATTATCCCCTAAACAACGTGACCACAAAATCCTTTTATATGCAGAACACCTATTAAATTCAGCACATAGGAGCAGAGTTGAGAGGCAGTGCAGGACATATATCCTGTCACTGCTAGGTAGAGGCACCACTAAAGACATGAGCCAGTGAATTCTAACACAAGACAGTGACAGTAGTGGGGAGGCAGGGGGGGCCAAGACCCACAGAACCCATCCTGAGAAACAGTTCTCAAAAGTCTAGTGAAAGCATCCATCAAATGTCAGCTGATGCACAGTACCATATCCCACCGCAACTGTAAGTTAAGCAGCCATACTCTGAAACAGCAACTCTAGGTAGCCCAGTTCTCACCTTCTAACTGGCTCTTTTCAGACTCTTCAAGGCAGTCCATCTTTTCTCATAACTTACCATCTTTTGTCATAGTATAGCTTGCCATCTTCTATCCGAGCCTCTAACCTCTGGGCCGGAGACTCTGCAGGTGTAGCAGGCAGGTGCTCAGGAGAGGACGGGGTTGCTAGAGGAAGACAACAGACGCTTGAACCCACTAGCTAACATACCTTAACTGAGACCCCGTGTGCCAGTAACCATGACTGGCAAGTTCTGACAGTGGGAACGCATAGGAACATAACAAAACTCCAGGCCTGAAAGCAAGTGCCGTGGTTGTTCACACACAAGAACCACGATGAAGCAGCACATGCACGCTGGGTCTCTTGCTCTGGGGAGCCTACTATGTGGTGCCAAGCTTAGTGTGGGACACAGCTGGCATAGCAGAGTACACCACTAAATTCTTGCACAGTACTTCTAACTGGATCTTCACACAACCCTCTGAGGTAGGCAAGGCACAGATTAATCTCACCAAACAGAGGAGAAACCTGAGGCACGGGAAGGTTTAGGTCAAATGTACAAATGCACAAGGTCGCTTAGAAAAGGAATGAAATCATTTCTAGAGCTAAGGTAGGTTCAAGTGATCTGAATTTAAAATTACTCCCCAGCCTGCTCCAGAAGCCCAGGACTTCCTGTGGACTATGGCAGCCCACACACTATCTAGGTAAACAATCTTGGTTTTTTCCACAAAAATCAGTAAGTACAAGGATATATGAGTAATCCCAGTGCTAGGACAAGACATTACCAGTTTGGAATCCTAGCTTATACCTAGCATTGGCTGGAAGGAACCACTGTGAATCCTGAGGTGGCCTTGTCCTCCTCCATGAACTGGAACTCAGAGCAGCCTGTGAAGACTCAGAGGCAGGCCATGAAAAGCCACTGGACAGTGATGTCTCGCACTTAATTCCAGAAAGGGAGTAAGCCTGAAAATCCTGTGACTTAATATTCAAAATTGGATATGTATTCATTCAACCTTATGCCTGCACAAAAGGAAACCTTGAACAGCTAACCAAATGTCTTGTACAATAAATCCTCAGAACATGAGCCAGCCAAATAGCTCAGTGGATTAAAGCACCTGCAAGCAGGCACAGGGGCCGGGGGTTTGATCCTTGGGTCTGCTGTGCTGGCCCCGCCCCCGGTGCATGCTGAGACGGTGGTTAAGACTGGGCATGGTGGCACATGCCTGTAATCCCAGCTCTTGGGAGGCTGTAAACAGGCAGATCACTATGAGTCCGCTCTAATAGTGAGACCCTGAACACCCTGTAGATCCTTCCCTAAAATTAAAAAAAAAAAAGAAATCCTCAGAACAAGATAAAAATAACATAAGGGGATAGATCTAGATATACATAGATATATATTAGGCATAATATACTTAAGGTTCTTTTCTGTTTCCATGATGACTACCCTTAAGCAAATGAACATTTTACTTTTGAAAATTTCAATGATTTTCGGACAGGTATTCACATGCTTTTCCAACAACACGAGAAAAAGATTGTACAAATGTCAAAAACATTATGCACTTACCTGGTCTCTTGGGTGACTTAAGCTGTAGAAAGAACAACAAAAAAATCTTAAGAGAAAATCATTTCAGATGCAACTTCTGGTATCAGAAGTATCACAATGATTTAACAAAGTAACGTGCGAATAAAGCGAAGCAGAAAATCGTATCAAGGGGCCAGCAAGAGAGCTCCGCAGTCTAAAGCACCTGTTTAGGCGAGCTTAGGCAAGCATGCAGGGACCGAGGTCCTATCCCCCGCACCAGCACCACATGCCACGCTAGTCCTGCCCCCAGGGTAGGCTGAGCTGGCCACAAAAACAAAAAAAAAGAAAAGAAAAGAAAAACAGAAACCATGTCAAGCCTAAGCTTTCAAAGAAATTTCTAAAAACTCAAACTGAAAATATCCTATCATGAAACTTACCATTACGTATATCTAAAATATACAAAGAAAAAAGAAAAAAATTAATCTGTACCTTATTTAATGTTCTCAGATCCTCCATAATCTGCTCATCAGTTAACAAATAGTTTAGCTGAGGTGTTAAGAGTTAAAGGAGTATGTCTGAAAATTTCTTTCCCAAAGAAACAGAAATCAACAAAATGGTTCCAATATTTTAGAACTGACAAAGCATGACTATGTTACATGATTTTTTTTCATACCTTGCTTCTTAGAAAATTGAATCTCCTATTAAGTCTCATGGTAACCAGGTATAAGAATTCACATTCCCCACCTTAGAAGCTGCTACAATGAAGCTCAGTAGGCAGCTGTAATAGTGAAAGCAGAGAAAAAAGTAAAACAATTTCACCCTGTACTTATATCTTGTTCCAAACATCTAAAGCCTTAAAACACACATACATACATATACAAACACAAACACACACACACACACACACACACACACACACCCCTAATGTAGGTTAGTCTTCCAAGGCAACTTAAATTCTTAATTACAAAGCTGAAAGGATGTGAAGTTGTATCTTTTTCTGGCAGCCAACAAACAACTGAACCATCTAAGACAAACAGCTACTTATTATGCCCTAGGAGGGACACTTCTTTCCATGTGTCCCATTCCCATTGTCTGTTTTCATGGTTAAAGAGATTTTTATATTGAAAACAATCTCACTTGCTATAAGAACAATCTGCAATTCAGTGTGCTAGAAATGGAGTACATGACGTACACAAGAGCAGATATTATTACTATCTTTGTTTCACAGGTGGAAAAATTAAGCCATGTCAACTTTTCAGTTTTCTCTGAAGCCTAATTTCCAACACAAAGTACTTTCCAAAATTTTTCCCACTGAAAGCAGTAGCAATTGAGGACTCTGGCCAACCACCGTCCCAGGGATAAATATTTTACATATATTTCCCAATCAAATATTGCTACCTTTGCAGAACAACTACCACGTATACTCTATCAGAGTGGTGGCAAACCCATGGCACACATGCTGCCACAGGCTGTTCATCATCACTGAAAGCTCTAAAGGTCCACCGGCACTGCTCTATCAGAGGTACAACAAAGCACTCATTGTCTTAAGGGAAAAACGCGATAAAGCATGACACAAACGGATATCAGGAGCAGGTTTTCTCCTCTTATCTGGGATGGGGACAGGATCATTTGGTCGCCTCCGCAACTTTCTGGTCATGATGGGTTTCACTTCCATTGAATCTGTGGCAAGAATAGAATAGGTTCATATAAAGCAATGAACATAACCTACTCGTTACCTAAATAAAGGATTAAGAACAAAGAACAGAATGGATAAACCTATCCAGCTCCCACTTGGGAGTAAGAATTCTTACAGTGTGCGAACATCTGCCTCACAGCCACCCAACCAGAACTGTTTTATTGGGGATATTTCGTCTATACAAAGCTCTAACCAGACGTAACAGAGTTGACAGAGGGTCTATGCTTACACTATGCAAATTACTTATGCTAGGTACACACCCTTTTGAGAAATTCAACACTCTTAAGACTACACTATGGTAGGTAAGATAATAATACCCTAAAAACTAGTGGCTATTCCTTCTTCCACTCCAATTAAGAACCCAGAGGGCCAGATTAGGGCTAGTCAAATAACTGAGTGGATGAAAGCACCTGCTCAGGCAGATTCAGGGGCCAGGAGTTTGATTCCCAGGCCTGACATGCCGGCCGCCCCTGGGGCACACTGAGACAGTGATTGAGACTGGGCCTGGTGGTTCACGCCTATAATCCAGCGCTTGGGTGGTGGCTGCAAACAGGAGGATCACTAGGAGCCCAATCTATGAAGTCAGATCCTGCAGACCCTGTATTAAATACAAAAAAAAAAAAAAAAAAGAATACAGATTCTGGAACTGAAAGTGCAAGGTGAGCTCACCACATAACTAATTTCCATTGTTCCCCAGAGGGTGGGTGCCTAAAACCCACTAGTACAAAAGGCTCTTTTTACAGGCCACTGGTCTCAGTGCTAACATTGTTATACTGAGTTTTCATTTACAAACTCCACTCCTTTCTAACCATTGGCAGCTACTTGACTTCACGAATGATACAATGAAAGCACACAATAAAGCCTCTTTTCACCCTCCTGACCTCTCTGCAGTCTGACACTGACACTGACTCCCCTTGCCCTGGTGACTCTTCCCAACAGCCACCCAGACCCCTGCTGACTTTTGCCCTTTGGGGCCATCTGGCCAGCCTACTCCTCCATCCTGGTGATCTCTCAGGTCCATTCAGCCCTCAGCCGTCTTCCGCTGAATGTCCATCTCTACTCCCAACCCTACCAGCCCTCTGGATGGAAATACACACCCTCTGGGCTCCTAGCAAACTCATTTCTCCTCATTCCTCTGCCCAAGGCTGCCTCTTCTCCTGCATCTCAGGGGCACTGAATCTGACCCCCTTCCTTTACCCAGGCATCAAAGTCACCTCAACTACAGGCCCTGATCTTTTCAGTGACAACAGCTCCATGCCCATCAGCAGTCTCTCCCTTAGCAAGACCATCCTCTCCTCCCTCCCTCAAAGCCAATTCCCTAAGACAGATACCAGGTCATCTTTGCATACTGTTCTCTTTCTAATAGCTTTTTCAAAAGCTTACTACCTTCTACAGAATGAAGGGCAAGCCTCTGTTCTATTCTTCCTCACTTCTCCTTCATTCACACTCACTGCTTGTGCAAGCTTTTAGCTCTTGTTATCAAAAGATTAGACTTTCAGGTCATCAAGTCCTTGTTCACTGTCCTCTCTGCCCACCCTCCTCTATACTGTCCAGCTAATGCCTATATAACGTTCTTGGGAGTTTGTTCAACATTCCCCTTTCTGTGACAGCTTCCACGGGCAGAGGCTCAGCCCACTTTCCCAGTAACCGGGACATTCCTGCCAGCCTCCACTACACCAAGCGCCACACCATGTGGGCCATTTCCCAACCAGGATGTGTGATTCCACCACAGGGTGAAATGTGTCCTTACCCCAGCACCAAGTTTTAAGAACCAGATGAAGTAAAGGTGATCACAAGACCAACTTAATCATGAGTATGCATGCTTCTCAGCAAAGCAGGACTGTGCCACAGGAATGTGCAGGATCTTAGGAGTATGTAACAAGTGTACTACACAAATGCAAGATGTTTCTGCATGTTGCTCTTAGAACACACACAGACAATACTGGTTTTTTTCCTATGAGTGGAACAGAGGCAAACTAAGAACCACACACCTAATAAATATTTGTAAAGGTGGACTTGGAAGTAGGAGTGGGAGAAGGATACACACACACCCCTGGGAAGAGGGGGGAAACTATCTTCCTAGAGGACATCTATTCCCCTCTGCTGAGATGCTACCTTGCTCTAGTCACTTACTGGCTGGTGGCATAGCACAGTGGTTCAAAGCCTGAGTGTCACACCTATAGGCCTGACTCCCAGTGGCAGCTGTGTGACCTAGACAGGCTACCTCAGGATTCCTCATCTAACAGAGGGCGCGCACAGATACTGTAAGGGTTACAGAAATGGAACATGTGAAGCCATTAGCTGAGCAGCTCACCTGCCGAAGCACAACCAAGGCTGGTTTTTACTGTTACGATTTCAGGGAGGAAAGCACCACACAAAGAACTTTTTAAAACGATGAGATGGGGGGGGGGGGGGGAAGGATGTGAATACCACAGGCAGCTGCTATCAATATGATACACTATAAGGTGCAGAATTTGGCAACTAAAATGTGAAAGGAGCTCACCCAACCCAGTCAGCACCAGAGAGACAGCAGCGCCCTATGAACACTGCAGAGTGTTCTCTTCAGCAAGGAGCTGAGTGCACCCCACTCCACAGGCTACCAACACAGAGATGGGCAGGTGGGCAGCACACAATAGGGAGAGAACCAAACCAACCACGCCAATAAACTGTTGAAACTGCACACTTACAAGTCAGAAAATGTAATCAAATTCTCCTTAAAAGTAATGAAAAAAACCAATCCATTTTATTAGCCCAGTCACAGGAATAACCTGGTAGATTTTATCCAATGCCTACTTCTACAGAAGGAAAAGCTGGCCAGATAGCTCAGCAGACTAAAACGCCTAGTCTGCTTAGGCAGACATAGGGACCTAGGTTCAATCCCTGGCATGCTGTGCCAGCCCCACCCCAAGGGTGTGCTGAGATGGTGATTGAGACTGGGCATGGTGGCATGCACCTGTAATCCCAGCGTTTCGGAAGCTGAAAACAGGAGAATCATGACGAGTCCAATCTCCACAGTAAGACCCTGCAGACCCTGTACTAAATACAAAAAGAAAAAGAAAAACAGAAGGAAGTACTCTTGGGAGGCTCCTAAAATGTATCAGCATGTCTGTACCACCACCTAGAAGAGGTGGCACCAGAGAACAGGCCTGGCCAGCTGCACACATGGGAGACATGATTCAGGGGAAGACCAGCCTACATATACAGCCCCAGGACCACACAGTATGTGAAATTATACACTAAACTCCCTTGCTTCAATTGCCAATTTGGTTGGCTGGTTTTGACAATAGATTTTTCAAAGAGGGATGGGCTAGCCTAACCATCTGCATGCAAATCTGCCTGACAGTTCTATTACTCACTGTCTGCAACAGCTGGCATGCTGACTTTGTAACATCAGTCTCTCACGCATTCATTTGGCCAGTAAGAGTCCACAGAAGTCAATCAGGACACACTCACAAAATTCAAACTCCCAAACCCAGCAGGGTGGCACATGCCTATAATCCTAGCACTGAAGAGGCTGAGGCAGCAGGATCACTGTGAGTTTAAGGCCAGCCTGAGCTACAAAAAGTGAGTTCAATGCCAGCATGGACTACATAGTGATACCCTGTCTCTTAAGAAAAAAAAAAAAAAATCAAACTCCCAGAACTGAATCTGAGGCTCAGACCCCATAGTGCAACACCCCTGGAGAAGGCACCTAAGCAAGGAATTCGGCCAGGAGGCCTCTCAGACATTGTGCACCAACCCCAAACTTCTCCAAATGGCCTAAGTGAAAAGGCCTCTCTGATCCTGAGGATACTTCAAACGTGTTTCAGTGGGCATAATCTGTAGGATAGCACTGAACATTACACAACTGCAGCAGATGGTGGGAGGGTTTACGGGAGAGAACAAACAATGACAAGGCCTACAGCTCCTCTCTAAACCACCTCACACTTGAATGTTAACAATGCAGGCCTCAGGACACCTGAGACACAGACCTGTCCTCTAGGAAATGTGAGCATCTAAGAAAAGAGAGTGAGGCTGAGTCAGTGCCGGGCAGGTATTAGCATTGCTATGGAGGGAGAGCCCTGACAACATCAACTTCCTGTGATCAATGCGAAGTTACCCATCGACTGATACGCCTTTGTTCCCTTCTTTCTTGGACCTAGTCCTTAATGTCTAACAACTCACGTGCTTACAGTGTTCAGCTGCAATAAAAGCTCCATTTTAACATCTTAAACAAGCTCAGGTATAACCTCATTCTTAGGTGGAATCTAGAGAGGCTGACCTGACAGGCACAAAGGATAGGACAGGGGTTTCCAGAGGCTGGAAAGGGTAGCGGAGACACAGGATTAGGCGAGATGGGCCATTACAACTTTCAGTTAGACCACTAAGTGTAAGTGCTGGGACACTATTACACAGCAAAGTGACTACAGTTAATAATACTGTGTTCAGGAGAGCTTGCTGGTAAGCTCAGTTGTTTATACACCTGCCAGGGCAAACCCAGTCAGGCACAGTCGACCGCGGTTTGATCCCCAGCTCCCCATGCCTTACCAGACTCACCCTGAAGGCAGCCTGAGCCAGCCAAAAAAATAATAATAATAATATTGTGTTCAGTATTTCCAAATTTACCAGACTGTAAGATTTTGAATGTAATCGCCACAAAGAAATGAGAACTACAGAAGTAGATAAATATGCTAATAGCCCAGCCTAATGATTACACAATGCAGATATGAATCAAAATACCCTGTACTCCGTTAGTATGTGCAATTATGGGCCGATTAAAAACCAAATTTAAAAACAAGCCCACACTTGTTTATAGATTAAGAAAAAATGAGCTGCAGTGATTCCAGAAGCACTCTGTATTTTACTTTCCTTTTCTGGATGACACATCCCTAGACACATCATTTTTTGTTTTTATTTTGAGACGGTCTCAGTGAGTTACTAAACTAAGTTCCCAGGCAATGCTCAAACTAACACTCCTTCTACCTCAGCCTCCCAGAGAGCTGGGCGTACAGGCATGTGCCCTACCTCTGGCTTCAAAGCAGCATTCTTCATAGGTTACATGTGCAGAACAAAAGCTCCTGGAGCGTGGACCTGCAGCAGACAGCAATGGCCCTAACGCAGAGTCAGAGCAAGAGAGAGCTGGCCCAGAGAGCCACAGTGGCACAAACGCACCCTATCCTTGCTCCTCTCTCATGGGTGCTATTATGGTTTGGGTCTAGTCACCTCCCCAAAGCCTTATGTAAGTTGTGGGGCAGATGCAGCTCCAGGAGCCACAAGCTACCTGGGGGACGGGGCCAGAGAACCAGGGAGGTGCATGAGGGGTGGGGCCAAGGAGGGGAGAATCATTAAACTGGCATCTCAAAATGCCCCCCAAGGCTGCAGTCTGAGGTGTGGAGGGTCATCCTAGACACAGCGGCATCGCAGCCTCTCCTCTAGACCCTGTAGAGTGGGGCGGCAGTGTCTGCGATTGAGACCACCTCAGTCAGAGAAGAGATGTTTGGAGAAGACAGTGGCACTGACCCTCTCTCCGGAGCAAATAAGGCTCTCAGGTCTTGCTACATAATTCAGGCTATTTTAAACTGTGAATTCTCCAGTAACTGTGAGCTAAATAAACCTTTCCTTCCCTCATTTTGAGTGTCAGGTATTTGTCCCAGCAATGAGAAAAGAGTAACTAATACAACTGTCAAGCTTACCCACAGTGTCACAAATCCACACTGCAGGGGCAACCAAAAATACAAGGCAGGGGTGTGGAATGGGAATTAGGGTGAGGCCTACAGAGGCCAAACCAGGGCAGGAATGGAAGAACCAAACCCCTGGAGCCAAACTTGCTTACAATCAAGGGACAGCATCCAAAGAGACCCAATGCAGGCCTCCTGTCTTCCCCTCAACCACAGGGAAGGGCCTGTACTCTACAACAACAGCACCAGGGAAAGCTACCCTACCCCACAGCCAGGTCACCTGTTCCACTTTCCCTCCTCATGCAACCTCTTCTCCTCGCCATGACTTCTACAGTCCTCCTCTCTGGGCTAAGTACTGTGTGAGACACACTCCTCCTGTCTAGTACAAAGTTCTAAAGTCACCATAACAAGCCTGTCAGATCTATCCCCTCATTTGGGAACCTCCGTGCCCCACTGCCTTGCACTTGGGAAGGCATGGAAGTCGTGTCCACCTTGTAAATATCAAGACACAAACTCCTTGAGAACACAGACCTTACCCATTGGCCTAATTCTGTCACACTGCCTTATGTCCCCTCGCTATCAGGAGAGCTGGTATGATGTGGTTAAGACAGCACGCCTAGTACCAAATTCTGGTGTAAGTTCTATCTAGCTTACTGAAGTACCTGAGCAAATGGTTCTACTCTGAATCTGCTTTATCATCTGTAAACTCAAGGTAGCAACATCTGAAATCAAGGGGAGCTGCAAACTAACAGGGTTAGCACACTTGCCAAGTCCAGAGTGACTCCTCTGGATACCATTTTCTAAGGCACAACACAGGCATCACATGGTCTCATCTTTAACCAACCCCTAGTAGTAGGTTCCATCACCTCCCTGCAGAATGAGGAGACCCCATGCTAAGCGTATGAGCCAAGGTTCTCCTCTAGTCTGTCAGAGTGTGGAAGCAGCACTAAAACTTCTGTACAATGTCTAGCTCGACAAGTACTCTGGAAACAGACCTCTATTTTGGCATTATAATGACTCACAGTGCTTGCTATGACTCTAGTGTTTTCCAAAGGAAACTCACAGGCTTTACTGAGGGTACCATCCACAGGGGCCCTTGGTAAGAAAGAATTTACGACAGAAAATGGAGTGGCAGTTTAGTGAACTGCTGGAATACAGAAGAGGCTGCTCTAGCAACAAGAAAAATGAATTAATGATAAAGTTCCCTACATTTGAAAGCTCAATGAACTACTCTGATTATTTAGGTTATTTATAATTTTGGCTACATCATCAAAGAAATTACACTCAGGTAATTCTACCTACAGCCTCACTATGCAAAGTGTGACGTGGCCAGCAGCCACCTGGTTAGAAAGGCCATAACCCAAGAGCCTCCGAAGCTGTCTGCCTTGCACCCAGGCCCCAGGGCACCCAGGTCCGCATCAACGCTGAAGAAGCTCTGACCTTGCACTCATCCCAGCCTCTTCACCTACTGCACACCTTGCCACCAGCGCAGTCGTTTCCACAAATTCTCCACCAGAGATGTGAGTGCTGAAGAGTCTACCCAGCAAATTCCCAGGGAGGCGTTAATGTTCAGATGAAGCAGGTCACTGAAACACTAATCTGTAAAGGGTCTCCTGAACTAATCTTTTTACCAGCCTCTTATTCTACTTTTACTTTAAAGAGGCCTACATGTTGAAGCAGAAAAGGACATACTAAGGAGTATCTTTTCTGGGCAGAGCTGGGCAATATCAATACTAGGCGTCAATCCACAAAGGTGAAGTCAGTCACTCACTTAGAGGAATGAAGTCAGGCCTTTAATCCAACAGCATAGCAACACCATCTGTGGACACGCTAATTACCCTTCTAGCTCCAGTGCCTTTCCTTTCCACACTCTATCATTACCTTGGCAGTGCTTTCCCTACCAAGGGTACCAAATGGCTAGAGGAAGGACATCAGTGCCTCTAATGCCCATGGCTAGCCTTAAACACTTCTACAATCTTTTTTTTTTGGGGGGGGGGGGCATTACAAATGACTTCCTTGCGTTTATTTGTCTTTTCTACCCTGGTCAGCTGTCTCAAGTCACCAAGGATGCCGCCTGTCCCACTTAGGATTCTGGCTATAAAATCTACTGACCAAATAATGTCTATTGCTTGTTAATAGCTATGAAGCCAAATCACAGGTAAGGTGAATACATCCTTCCCTGCAGATGAAAAGGCAGCAGCTGTAAGTCGACAATATTTCCCACTAGCCTAATGAAGGCTCCCAAACATCAGGTGGCACAAGCAGAGAATGATGAGGCACCATGCCAGTCACAGCCGCTATCAAAAAAAGTGGCGTTTGGGTCAGAAAACAGGCAGGCAGACTGGCATGGGACGAGGTACCAGCAGTCTAGACAGCATTTCAACAAGAACAAGGCCGTGCTATCTGGACATGTCATCTTAGTATGCATTCTCACTAAAATAAAAACATTTCTGAGCTGCTTTTTTGCCAATTCTTTCAAGTAGTTCCAGAGATTTCATTTTAGGAGTCAGACTCCTCCCCTCCAACATGCCTAGCAAGACACAATTAGATTCTCACCCAGGTATCACTGGCCTGGAGCTAGAATAGGGCCAAGCTGGTTCATAGTACAGACAGTGTATTGGTACGTGGTGCATGCAGAACTTGGTGTTCTTTCTTTTTTGAGACAGGGTCTTGCTATATAGTTCAAGCTGGGCTTAAGCTCACTATGTTGCCCAGGTTGTCCTCAAATTCACAGCAACACTCCTGCCTCAGCCTCCTGAGTACTGGGATTCCAGGCACATGCCACCACAACTGGCTAATGTGCAGCTATTAACTGGCTATTTTTAGTTTCAAAGTAGCTCCAAGGTTTTCCATAAAAACACATTTTCTATGGAACCCTCTTAAAATCAGACATGCCAGAGCCCTAGTACCTTCTAAATATTATAAAAGTTAACTCTTAGAAATTGTGCAGAAGGCGTGCCACCTACATATCCAAGTAACAAACACACTGCTGACTGCTCCACAGTGTCTGGCAGGTTCTAAGATTCTCTGTATCCTTCTAGGATTCATCAGTCTACATATGACAGCAGGAAAGTCAGCCCATAGTAACGCTTTTCCCCAAAATCTGCCTAGAGCTTGCTGAGCTCCCATATGCAGACTAAACTTCGGAAAGCTAGGGAGGAATTAGCTTCCAGTCTCGTACAACTTCCCGAGCTTTATAGGAAAATGTTAAGGTTAGCTACACTGTTGGCATCACATCAACCCTTTCTGAAATGTTCCTAGTAACACCTGAAGAGATCTAACAGCACAGATGATATAACCAAAGCCACTGTTCCCACGGCCAAGTCAAAAAACAGTAATGCATTTCCTGTATTGAAGGCAGACTGAAAAAAAAAAAAAAAAAAAAACAAAGCAGAGACATTCCCACTACCACAGATGGAGCTGAGTAATTCAGGAATGAAAGCAAGCCATGAATGGCAGCAGAGCCAGAATTACATAAAGGGTAAGCCCAAGCTCCTAAGTGCTACACCTAAGGAATATCTAGATGAGAAATATTCTATGGAATACCTAGAAAGAAATATTCTAGGCATTTGTATTTCCTTTTCTTCTCTTTTTTTAAATGTATTTAGTACACAGTTGACAGGGTCTCACTACTAGATCGGACTCCTAGTGATTCTCCTGTTTTCAGCCTCTCAAGCGCTGGGATTACAGGCCTGCGCCACCACACCCAGTCTCAATCACTTGCGCCCCAGGGGCGGGGCCAGCAGGGAGCACTGCACTCTGCCTAAGCAGGCGCTTTAGTTTACTGAGCTATCTGGCCGGCCTAAGACATTTATCTTTATAACCACATTCCCACAGAATAAGGTATGATCAGCCCCACTTTACAGTGGAGGAAACACTCCGAAGTTAAAACAGCTTGGTTAAGGTGACAGAGCCAACACAGGTTGGACTGGAACTCTAATCTGTGATGTCAAAGCCCACTCTGTGCTATCAGGCTCTGCTCGAACTGGGGGACAGCTGCGGTAACAGGAGCAGCATGCCAGGACCCCTCTGGACCCCCAGACTCCTGCCCTACAGGGCCTCCATACCTCCTGTTAGTTCCATGGTTAGCTTTTCATTTTCAATCATTTTCTTCTTTTCTTCTAGCTCAGCGATCAGGTTCTCTTTTAGTTCAACCTTCTTGTCTTCAAATTCTTTCACTGCTGCTTTCTTTTCTTTAATGTAATTTCTTTCCACTTGTTCAGTCTGAGCAGAAGAAACACAGCATAGGGGTGTATAGCCCAGGCACCCAGAACTGCATTCAAAGTCCAGCTGTCTCAAAAGCAGAAAAAATGGGGGCCTGCCCATTAGCTCAGCTCTTTAAGTGATTGCTTAAACAAAGCAGTCAGAAGATTCTCAGGATCATTGCCTTACCCATCTTCTACATATAACTGTATGGCTTGCCACTGACATGTTTCCTAGCTTTTTTCCTTTCCCTCTCTTAATTATTTAGTCCTCAAGTTCTTGTTTTCCTTTTAGTTGTATTATACCCTTCTATTTGTATTTCTTCGAGTTCTTTTACTATGGAAACTACATGATATTTACATATGTGTGTCTGGTTTATTTCACTTATGAGTATATCTTCAAGTGGCATCCATTTAAATATAAAGGTTTAAAGTTCATCATTCTTTATAGCTGAGTAATACTCTATTGTATAAAAATACCACATCTTTTTCATCCATTCCTCAGGTGATGGGCATCTTGGTTGTTTCCAAGATCTGGCTATCACAAATTGTGTTATGTCGAGCTGTACGGGACTCAGGCCAACAATTTCTGACATTGCCAGTCAAGCAGAAGACCCAATACTATTAGGGACTACTGGACTCTTTTGGAATATTTTGATGAATTCACACATCTATAATATTCAAATGACGGAACTAAACAGAAAAGGGGATACAGCTGAATGTCCATTTTGTATCTGTGTATTCAAAATGGTTAGGATAGATATACAGTTACATTCTCTTAATGAATAGAGGGATTTGTTCTAATAGTGTTTGTAAATAGGATCTCATGTCTGCATCTTGTATAGCAATTAACCACTAGGAAGAGAGTATGCAATGTGTTAATTATTGAAACTGTCCTACCAATTTGATTTGAAACTATCTCACTGTTATTGCTTCTCAATAAAATTATGGAGAAAAAAAAAGTTGAACAAAAAATAAACAAAGCAGTCAGGTTCAGGATGCTGTGGTTCGATCCCCTGATCCTCAAGCCTTGCCAGATCCGCCCTGAAGGCATCCTGAGCCAGCCAAAAAAAAGGCAGAGAAAATAACTTTACTAGAAACAGAAAAACAACTCTGCTCACCCACACTTTCAGTGAGCAGGTGTCTGGGCACAGGGTTCCCACTGAAGGTACCACATTTCCCATTCAGCTACCTCCTCTCCCCAAGAGATTTAATGTCTTAAATCTTACGGCTTTAACAGAACACAAATCTCTCAAAGATGGTAAATAGTCACTTTTAAGGCATAATTTCAAGGGAAAAATAGCACATTCCAGATAAAGTATCTACATGCAAAATTAAGTACATGACACTGAGGCCAGACAACATAGGTTATTACTTTTGATACTTACAATAAAATGAAAAACTACAGTAGAGCACATTAGGTACCTGAAGCCTTAAGGATTCCACACTGACATTGAACTGAAATAAAAGTTATTTGGAATCTTGCCAGTATACAAAGTTACAAACAACAATGCCCAAGGTAGGCTGTGGCTGTGGATCACATGATCCTTCAGGCTGACACTAAATGCACTGAACTGACTTCACTACTGGTTTCCAATAGCATGGTTCTAATAAACCATGACCTTCTCAAAAAATACCCAACAAACACACACCATCCAGGAGCAGTACTGCATTCAACACTCTGGTCCTAATCTCTGCACCTCAAAACTGAGCCTGACACAAAAGCAGCAAATATCTGTGGAATGAAAAGAAACATTCAAATTCCACTGGTCTAGAGTTCCAGGTATAAAATGGACCTGTCAAGCCAATTCAGAAATTGGACTGCCTCGAGAACCACCATCAATTAAGCTGCTATACTTCCAAAGAAAGCAACGAGGGGTGAACATCCCCTAACCATGAGATAAACAGAGGCTGTTCAACAAAACATGAATAGATTAGTGGCAGCAAGCCTATGGCGTGCACACCACAGTGAGCTGTTTGGATCACTGAAAGCCCTAAAAGGTTCACCACCTCTGGAATAGATGGACCATCTGAAGTGAGACCAAGTATCATGTAGTCAAACAAAATGGTGACAAAAGCTTCCAAACTATTCTGTCACAGAAGGAAATGCCGCCAGATCCAGAAAGCAAGATTCCAGTCTCAGAGAGCACCTGCAAACCCAGGGCTGTGGTACTTACTTCCAGCTGGAGGAAGAGTTCTGAAAAAGATAAAAAGGACAATTAGATTCACTAGGCGTGTCACCTTTCTAGACAGGGATGTTAGCATTCATTTAGAAGCTGTAATTGCTTTCTGAAAGCACATTACACAAAGCAAGTCTTTTCATCAGTAAAGTACTGATGTACATGAAAGGTAAAGATGCAAGAAATACTTTTGTCTAGTTAAAATCTGCCTGAACAGAATCAGCACTGGCAGTTCTGCGTGGGGGAAAAAATAAGCAGCAAAGCCAAACCACCTTGGCAAAAATAAGTCGACCCTTCTTTCACTTAGTCCTCACTCTCCAGCAGTTGCACAGACTGCAGGACAGGTTAGGAAGGCACACAGCAACTCCGAAAGTGAGTCTGCCTTGATGTTTCAAAAGTGGCGTGGAGAAGCCCAGGTGATAAGGACTGATGCTCCTAAGGAATCCAGGACAGAGGTTCCTGGGCCTCCTTGCAGTGTACTCACAGGCACTGAAGCTCCTGCCAACCACACACTCAGGGCCTCTCTGTTGCACTCCGCACTCCGGGCCTAAGGCAGCCCCCAGCTTGAGATCTTTCTGGACAGCCTCTCCCTCATCAAGCTCCTCTCACAGACCCTAAAGTACCCTCCCAAAAGTATTTAACACCTACACAAGGAGCAAGTGTTTTGCAGAAGCCCCCCTCCTCTACATTGTAAGCCCCTCTACATATCCAGTAAATCAAGCCAAATAGGTCTGTGGACTCTAATCTTTTCTGAGTGACGGCTAGCCTGCTGCATACAGTCTGCAAAGACTTCTGGAGTCAGTAACTACAGAAACCCCATACAGTCTGCTGTGGCCTTTTTGCAAACCTGACAAACCCTACACTCATTCCCCAGAAACAAGCATATTCACACATGCTCAGTGAACTCTTTTGGAGTTCTAAGAACCCTGCCCAGATGTCAACGAATAGGTTGATGCATGAGAAAAACTAACTGAAGGGACAAGCCACACATCATTTTCTAGCCTGGGGATTTTTGGCCCTGGGAATCATGCAGCACAGGAATCCAAGTACACCTAGCCCAATATGCTCACTTCTGTCTGCTCCAGACCATACCATGAGAGAACAAGTCTATACTACCTGAGAAATCACACCTGCATCAACAAGACAAAATGACAATTAGCTTTTAGAGCTAGCAGTTGTTGTATCAGTTAAAGCAGGCAGGCACCAGACAACCAAAGCAGGTGGATTATCTCTGCACAGAATGGGCTTTTTAAAGCTGAAGTTATGACTGATTTAGGAGTTCCTCATTTTCACCTAGAGGGAAGAACTGTTTAGGAAACAACACATAAGCATAGGACTGAGCGTATGTGAGGAAAATTAAGAAAAAGAACTCAACACTCATCCTGCTGCTCTAGTGTAAGAAAAGATGGCCCACATCAATTTTCTTTCATTATTTACATCTTAAGCTGATTCCTTGAGGAATCTACAAATGGGGAAACTGAGGCTCCTCAAATAAATACCTTGATTAAAGGGACAGACCCAAAGAAACAGAGATGGGGGCTGGTGAGATGGCTCAGTGGTCTAAAGCACCTACTTAGAACAAGCTAAGCTAAGCATAAAGCACAGGGACCTCAGTTCAATCCTCAGCACCACATGCCAGCCAGCCCCGCCCCCTGGTGGGCTGAGCTGGCCACACACACACACAAAATAAATAAATAAATAGGAAAAAAAAAAAAATAGAGGTGGGATCTAAATCTTGGGCCACGTCCTCCCACAGTGCCACCTTCCTGACCTTATGGAAGGGAACTCCAGGAAGAAGGGTGATGATTCTAGTGATACCCCAAGGCAGTATCACAGAGCTCAGAGTGCAGTGCAGTGAGGGTAGCACCAAGTACAGCAGGTATGGACAGGCAGAAGCTAATGGCTGTAGCGTGACTGTCCTAGTGCCGCACGTTTCTCAGCCCCTTTTCTGTTGGTGCACACTGAACATGCTGGACTCCCTCAGTGGAGAGGACAAAAGCTTCCGAGGGCAGACAGCCATAGCTGCTGCATCACAAGTCAAAGGGAGAGCAACATGAGGACTGGCACCCAGATCTTGTTTTAAAATCCAACATTATTTCTACCATGACACCAAAAAGCAAAGGTACCCAGCTGGCATGCAAAATGCTGGCTAACAGTGAGCTTTAAAATTTAACAGTCTCCTGTAAGCTCAGGAATCTGTGTTTACAAACTTTAAATAGTTGTCACATCTTCCTTCCTGTGTGATGCTTCATTAAACTCAATGTTCCTTCACTTTAGACACTTGGGTATCTTTTGTCAATGAACATGCGTTTTCTGAAGTCAAGGACAATGTGTTCATGACTTTAAGTTGCTCACAGTGCTTACCCCTAACAGATGTCCAACAAATATGCTGAATAAAAACATTTACTAGGCATAACAGGATAAAAACATGCTCCTTTATTTCTCTCAAAGCTTATTATACAGCCCTGGAGGGAAATAAAGAGAGGACACCCACTCCCTGGAGCACAGAATTCCTGAAGAAACAAACTTAAATTGAGTGTGAAACAATCCCGAATTGACCACTAAGCCAGCCGTGTAGATGTGAGCAGTAACTGGTAAGACGACTCGTGGGGCACCAGGAACAACTTGAGGACAAGCAGCCACCACTAATACCACTGGCTGCAGGGACAAAGATGAACCAATTTTCTGAACTGTGCCTTTGGAATCTCTGTTCCCTGAAACCCCCCACAACAAAGTATCTGCAATGCATTCTGGGAAATGGCTCTTAGAGGCACATTACGTGGGTGACATGGTGGACCATTTGAAGATGGCTTATTTCTAATCAAAGAGCCTCACCTGCGTTTCGGATCCTCTCTTTGTACTGCTGATCCAGCTTTTTCATTCTCTTTTGATACTCCTGTAATGTACCTGATTTTGAACATTGAAAAACCAGAGTTATTTTGAAGATCGATCTGCTCTACACTGTATTTCCTAAAGTTATTTTCCAATAAAACTATGGGAAAAAAATCTAAAAATAAAGTTATTTTCAATTGCTAGTGACTATATTATTAGCAACAGAATAACACAAACTCACGAAGGCCAGACGTGCACAGTTAAGTGGATTCAGGTTATCAGCCAGTGCATAAAGCAGGTCCCACCTGAAGCCTGTGTGCACTACCTCAGCACATCAAATCACACCCCCAAGTGAATGCAATGTCTGCTACTACTGGGCCTCCCTTCTTGGAAAAAGGTCGTTCTGCAGTAAGGTCCAGGTCAAAGCTGTTGGCACAACTTTCTGCAGTGGTGGAAATGTCCTCTATTTGCACTATCCAGTGTGGCAGCCACCTGCCATGGGTGGGGGCTCAGCACTTAAATACAAGTACTGCAACTCAAGAACCAAGTTACTAATTGTATTTACTTAAACACAAACGGCCACATGTGGTAGTGACAGTACCAGACAGCTCAGACACAGATTCAGAATCTCCTCCCATAGCTCTTCCCCGAAGGGTTCCAGCTTGTGTGGAAATGCCTCATGTTCTCAGAGCTTGCCCACAGGCCAGCCTGAAAGTGCAGATCACCCACTAGCAACACCAAGTACCTAGCAGGAAAACAGGTTCACTGACCAGGCTCCACAATACAGACCTAAAGAGCTAATGGCAGCAGATAGCGCTCCCTGGGTTCGCATGCTGGGCCCAATACTGCACTAGATGGTCTGTTTTCTTCATGCACCAATTTGGTAAGAGAAAATGATAAGCTCAGATCACCCACAAGAAAGTGAATGTAAGTTCCCCCTCCACCGTGGTACCTGAGGGCCTGGGTTCCTAAAACTCTATGCTACACTGCCCCTAGGGGCCAATAGCACTTGAAAAAAACCATCTATTTATAATTCGCCATGCACAAAGTAGAAAACACTGGATAATATTTAGTACATTAACATGTTTTGAAAAGAAAAATAAGCCAGATGTGGTGGCTCAGCACAACCTTAGATTTCTAGGAGGCTGAGGCAGAAGAATTCCAAATTCAACACCAGCCTGGGCAACTTTGGGA